AAAAAAAAAAAAAAAAAAAAAAAAATTATTGCTCTGTTTATAAATGTAAAAAATATTAAATGAAATGGGACTTTTTTCAAGTATTAAAAAGGTTCCCTTACATTATTATTAAAACACTTATTTTAACTCCAGCAATAGTTCAGGCTCTGATTATCCTGGGAAATTTGAATTTTTCATTGCTATTTATTCATTTAACAAATATTTTGTTGAATATCTATTATGTATCAGGTACTATTCAATGATAGGGAATATGTCAGTGAACAAAATTTCATTCTAGCAGGAGAGTACATATATACATAAATATTATCAGGATATGATACATTTTAACATCAGTATGAACTTTATACAAGGTTTTGTTCATTTTATATAACACAAATGAACTTAATTGTATGATTTCAATAGATTGAATATCCCTTATCTAAAATGCTTGGGACCAGAAATATTTCAGGTTCTCTGGGAGGCCTAGGGGGTGGATCCCTTGAGCTCCGGAGTAAGAGTGCATCCCCATCTCTAAAAATATCTAGGCATTGTGGCAGGTGCCTGTAGTCCCAGCTATTTGGGAGGCTGAGGCAAGAGGATTGCTCAAGCATAGGAATTTGAGGTTACTGTGAGCTATCATGCCATAGCACTCTAGTGAGAGCAACAGAGTGAGATTCTGTCTCAAAAAAAAAAAAATTCAAGTTTTGGATTTTTTTTAGATTTTGGAATACTATCATATATATAATGAAATATTTTGGGTACAGGACCCAAGCCTAAACATGCAGTTCATTTAGGTTTCATATACACTTCATACACATAGCCTACAGATAATTTTTCTTTGTTTTTCTTTTTTTGAGACAGAGTCTCACTTTGTTACCATTGGTAGAGTGTCGTGGCAACATACCTCACAGCAACCTCAAACTCCTGGGCACAAGTAATCCTCTTGCCTCAGCCTCCCAAGTAGCTGGGTCTATAGGCACCTGCCACAACACCCAACTAATTTTTCTATTTTTAGTAGAGACAGGCCCCCCCCCCCCCCCCCCCCCCCCCCCCCCCCCCCCCCCCCCCCCCCCCCCCCCCCCCCCCCCCCCCCCCCCCCACCACCCCCCCCACCACCCCCTCCCCGCACTGAGCACACCACAGGGAAGAACTCCCGCTGTGCTAGGGCAGCCTCTCATAAGGGTTGCCCTGAGATGGCAGAACTTGTAGAGAGCAGCACCTGTGGGGTTCAGCTGTTCTCAAGAGTCATCTAGACTACCTGGGAATGGGTTATGGCTCCT